TCTTTACATACACATTGACTGTAGCATGATTAGAGCGCAGTCCTACAGCATAGGAGTTGACGGTAGGATTTCGTAACATACATAGTAAAAGAGCATGAGCTTTGGAGTCAAGTACACTTAGCTTTAATTCCAACTCTGACAATAGGTATGTGCATATGTGTAGGTTACTTTACCTCGCAAAGCCTCTAATTCCTTATCTGTAAAAACGGTGGTCATACTATTTTACTGGACTGTTTTGAAGATTGTCTTAGATTGTGCATGCAAAATAACCACTGCGTTGTCTGGTGTATTATAGACACTCGATAATTTGTATCCAGTGCCTCGATTTCACTGTCTTTTCCCAACACGTAGAACACAGGATGCATGTAAATTTCTGCATTTAGTTTTAAAACTTCACAGGTAGAGGATGAGTGAGAGCTGGCTTGTCAGCACTTAATTGTCAAAGGGATCTTGAATAATTTTTGGACTTTATATTTTTAAAAATGCAATGTACTTTTAGATTATTAGAAATACAGTGCTTACGTTGTTGCGTATAAAACCTTTTGCTATTTGGAAGTATGTTGCGTTCAGTTCTGAGCACATCCTGAGAGGCAAGATAATAAAACCATCAAGAGCCAGATTCTGGAGCCAGAATTGGTTTCAAGGTCAGGCTCTGCTACTTGAAGACTCTGTACCTTGAATAAACAACTCAATCTCTTTATCTCTAAAAGAGGGATAATATTGATATCTACCTCATAGTGTTGTTTTCAGAAATAAATGAATTATTATGTTTAAACCACTTAGATTAATGCCTGGCCGATAGTAAGCTCTATGTGAATGTTAGTTGCTTTTAAGGGGACTTCAGAGGAAAGCAAGGAGCATGGTGGGCTGCTTGGAAGCATGGCATGGAAAAAACAGTCGAAGAAATTGGAGGCGTTTAACTTGAGAAAGAAAGAATTATTGAGAGTCCGTTATCATTTAAAGGGAAATCTTATGGAAGAGGGAATAGACTTATTTTGTGTTGCTAAAGATGGAACTAGGATCAATGGGTAGAAATTATAATGAGGCTGATTTTATTTAATGAAAGGCTTTATAACAAGTAGAGCTGTTCAAAATTGCAATGAATTGCTTGGTGAGCCAGTGAGTTTGCATCTTACAGAGGATTAGAGGGCTGAAGAGAGGTTCCTGACCTGGCTAGTGGGGTGAGCTCGATGACACGTGTTCCCTTCTACCCTGCTGTCAGTTCAGGTCAAGTGACTGGTTTAAATTAAGGTAATCCCACACTGAAATTTGCAAGGATTTGATAGCATGCTTGAGAACTTTCTGCCTAGAATTAGTCTGCTGTTTTATGCTTTATGGCCTATCATTTATTCATTTTGCAAATATTTATTGTCTGTCTGAGACAGTGTATTTCTGGTCTCATTTTGCAGAGAAGAAAACAGCTTGGAAATGAATCTCTATTTACTGCTTGCTATTGCTTGGCACCATGGTGTCATTCAATCCTTGAAGGAACCCGATGACTTAGGTATCATTATTGTTGGGAGACAATTCTCCTTGGGCCTATTGTGTTTCTAAAGTTCTTATAAGTGTGCTTTGTTTCAGACTAGCTTGTCAAGGATGTTTGTTTAGCAAACAGCCTTGGAAGATAGGGATAGTCACTCCTTTTTGAGCAAAGGGCAAGAGCCCAACATAAAAATTTAGTTTTATAAGCTCAGGAATCTTCTCCTCCAATAACTGCCTGTGTGGGCAGGCATCGGTTTGGGCCCATCTGCCTAACCCCCATGGGACTTGGCGGCAAGGGGAACTGGTGCGAATGTGCTGATGCTCATTGGTGCTTGCTCTGCTACGAGTAGTAAAGTCCTTAGTCTCTGACCTAGAAGTTTGCTATCTTCCACCAGCACCCATGAAACTGGCAGACTCACTTGTCAGCTTGCAAGTAGGATAAAATCTCAGCCTTTACAATTCTTGACATTAAGGAAGAGTAAAGTGAGGATTAGAGAGGTTGGATCTAATGCCCAGAGTCAAATGATCTAATATTTAGGGGTGGTGGGATTTGAACCTTTGTCTCCAGAGCATGCACTTTTTATTATATTATGGAAAAAATGCTACTGCTTTTGCTGATGCTACTAGTGCTACTATCACTAAAACAATAATAGCTAACAATAACCACCAACATTTGTTGAGTGCTAATGATACACCAGGCCTTGTCTGATCTCATTTAATTCTCACGTACAACTGTATACGGAAGATATCTTATCATCTTCATTTTATAGATGAGCAAAATAAGATGCCATTACCAATGTCATATGGGTAGTAAATATGGTAGAGCCAGGATTCTATCCCAGGCAGTTTGACCCTGCCTAGAGAGACCACAACCCGGTGGTGGCTAGGAGCAGAATCTGAAAACAGAACAACCTGAGAGATTTAAGTCCCCGTGCTATCCCTGACCCTCATTGTGTGAGGTGGGGCAAATTAATTTTAGCTCTTCAGATCTCAGCTGCTTCATCTGTGAAAAAGGGCGGGGAGGATAATCATAGGACCTGCTCCAAAGAGCTGTTATGAGGATTAAATATACGTTCTATAAAATGTGCCACACAGCTGGTTCCTGGCAGCTAGTAAGCCTCTCTAAATGTTAGGGGCTAGTATTATTTTTTATTATCTTTGCTGCCTTCCTTTTTCTCTAATTAAAAAAGTACTTTAACGATTTTGTACTCGCAGAGTTCTATAATGTATTTTTGACGAAAGACAAAATGTTATCCTGGTTTACATCAAGAGAATGAATTTCAAATGTGGGGCAAACCTGGCACAGGCTATTTCTTGTATAAATATTTTCTTGAAAAAGGAAAATAGGAATGAAAACCCCCTATAGACCCAATTTACTCTCTAATCTTCATTTTAGTAACCCTTTCTATTTCCTAAATAACGCCTAATGATTCAGTAATGTGTTAACAGAGACAGCTGATGCCAGAGAAGGTGTCCTCTCTGGGCCTGACATTTTCCTTAATTGTAATTCTAGCTAGTTAGGTTAAACAATGTGAACTGTTTGGCATGTTTCCTTGCACAAATGGTAGTGCAGAGGAAATTATGAAAAGCGTTGTAAAAATGGCAGACTGATCCAGTATAGCTTTGACAATTCTGTGATTGCTGTTACAAGGAGAAATAATAGAGTTAAATATCTAGGCAGTCTTACCTTTGGGACAGTTGACAAATTGAAGGCATTTTCTTATTGTGCTTTACTTTAGATTAACAGCCTGGAGGGTTTCAGATTTAAAGAGCAAAGTTGTGTATCATAGAAACAACAGGAAGACGTGCTAAACTACTTTGTACCTAAATATTGCAAGTAATCTTGGTAGCTCCATTGTGGAAGCTAAATTTCCCCTAAATTCTCCACTCTGATTTCCTTTAAGAATCAAACACTTGTGTGGTATTCTCTACCTGAAAGTAATATTGGAAGTAGTCTGGTTTTGAATCACCTGTTTAGATGAGGAAATAGGATCTGGCATGGTAAAGGCCTTAATTCAAGTCTCATGGTTCCCAGTAGTGTTGCTTCCCTGAGTATTCCACACTGTCCTTAGTGGCTTTTGCCTTTTCCTTTACTGCCTTCCTTCTTTCATTTCTCTCGGCCACTCTCCCCTCATGCTATACCTGGTCTCTTGGCATCCTTAATACATTTACAAAATTCTTTTTGGAGATTAGATTGATGTCAAAGACTGGCCTTCTGAATTTCCCTCTAAATTGAAAAAGAAGTTTTATATATTGTGCGGCTCATGAGCTAAGATCTTTTGCTCTAAATGACAATTGGGAGAAGACTGTTGTACAGTATTTTGCTTGCAAATATCTAGAGATGGGTATGTGATTGATTTGCTGACAGACCATCTCTGAAAGCAGTTCTAATGATGGACTTATAATTGATGGCATCCATCATCGAGAGCCTAAAATATCCCCCTCCCTAAATTAAAAAAGATAAATGAAATAAACTAGGCTGAAAGTATAAGCTGACAAATCTGAGGGAATTTAATGAAACTCTAAATTACCGCAGCAAACAGATAAGAGGAAAAGGTTTCTTTGTTACTGATTATAATACTAAATTAAAAAAAATTATCCCAGAAAGATAATAGAGGAAACAAAGAACTGTGGTCCATGTATCAAACTAAGTTATTGAAAGATTTTTAATAAGTGTATCTATCTCATTCCCTGCTATTGTTGATTCATATCAGTCTTGTTAGTGCCGTTTGAAGACTAGTAAACGCAGAGACTGTCTTGTAGTATAGCGTAGAATATTGCTGTTGGAACGGATTTTAGATTTAATATGACCTTATTTCCAGGCTACTGGGGCTTTTTGCCAAATTCAGGTCATTCAAGTGGGCTTTTTGGAAGGTGGTTCCTCAGTGTATGAATAATTTTATCAGTTAGTATGCTTTCGCTACATATGAAAGAAAACCCACTGAAAGTGATTTAAACAAGTCCTGAGATAAGGCAGCTGCCGGGCTGGCTGCTTCAGGGGCCCAATGACATAGTGGCAGTTGCTATTTCTCTTGGCTGTTCCTTCCATGGTTGTAAGATTGCTGAAGTGCTAGAGTATCTCAGCTTTGTATAGTGATATCTAGGGCTGGGAAAAGGGACCTCTTCTTGCAAGAAAATTACTTCCAGAACTTTCTTAGATCTCATTGGCTAGACTTGTCACTGTTAAGGGAGTGGGATTATTAGGAATTACTAAGATTCACTCATATCATAGAGCTTCCGAGCTTCTTGAAAAGTTCATGCCTGCCTGCCGTCTGACTAAAATCAGTGCTAATGCCAAGAAACAAGTGAAGGGAATGGCTCCTTGGATAGGCATCCAACAAGTCCACTTAGATGGCCCACTGGAACTTACCATGAAGGTGCTTTTGTGTTTTCTGTTCGTAACTGATTTCAGTTCCTCTTTAATAAGACGGATATGCTGGCATATTGACCAAGTCGCTTTTCTTTTGCTTTTTCATTTTAAGTTTTTCTCAGCTTGATATATTCTCTGTCTTTACCAGGACTCTGTCTACCAGTGATGACGTCGAAGACAGAGAAAATGAGAAGGGTCGCCTTGAGGAAGCCTATGAGAAATGTGACCGTGACCTGGATGAATTGATTGTGCAGCACTACACAGAGTTGACGACGGCCATTCGCACGTACCAGAGCATCACCGAGCGCATCACCAACTCCCGAAATAAAATAAAGCAGGTGCGCCTCCATTCCTCTTGTCTGGTGACTGCAGCGCCTTCCTTTGGTACAGTGTTGTGGCTTGGAGGGGAGCCACGGTAGTGGCTAATGGTCCTCTATGAGTGATTCATGATGACACTTTTCAGGAGTTTTGCAGGTGTCTGGAAGGCCAGACTGAGGGATGGTCACAGAGGGCATCCCGGGCTCACATCTTCCCTCCCCTGTGTCTTATCCTTGGCTTCTTCCGTCACTTCTCACTGCGGGGTGAAATGACACAAGGAAGGGGCCCTCAACTTGAGGAAGGCTGAAAGGCATCCAAACCAAAGAAGAGAGTATGTCACCTAAGTTGAAGTTGGTTGTGATTTCTCTGCAGCCATTGTGCATTCTTGGTATTTTTTTCTGAAGTGAAGAAAATCTTACCTACAAATTATTTAAACAGATAATGGAAATTTTATGACAACCAGAATTCTTGGATATTATACCCTAGTTGGGACAAGTATGTATTCATTTTTGTAATTTTCTTTTCATGGTTTGGAGTGCTTTCTTTTCGATCTCTTCTATTCTTTTTCTCTCCCCGTTCCAGCCCTTTTCTTCTTCCTCTCTCCCTGTCTATATCCTTCCTTCCTCCATCTTTCCCTATCCCTCCTCTATCCCTTCTTTTCTCTCCCCCTCCTTCCCTTCCTTTTATGGTAGGCCCTTGGAAAAACTCTTGGTTCCTGGGTAGCATGCCTTTAGTACCTAAAGGATAAAGTGTGGGGTTTTTTTTTTTTTGAAACATGGTCTTGCTCTGTTGCCCAGAGCTAGAGAGCAATGGAGTCATCATAGCTCGCTGCAACCTCCAAGTCCTGGGCTCAAGTGATCCTGCTGCCTCAGCCTCCCAAGAAGCTGTGACTACGGGTGGGTGCTACCACACCTGGCTAATTTTTCTATTTTTTTTGTAGAGATTGGGTATTGCTCTTGCCCAGGCTGGTCTTAAACTCTTGGTCTCAAGCAATCCTCCCGCCTCAGCCTTCCAGAGTGCTTAGGATAAAATGTGTTAATAGGGGCCATTTTTATATTTGGCCAAGGGATGAACTGATCAAATAAAGGTTATGTAGTATCACATCATGTCATAGTTATGTGGTTCTTGGCTATATTTTGAGGATCAGTCCTTTAATACCTTTTAGTACTACTCTTTGATACACAAAAATATTTGTTGCCACTTTTTGAACACTGGTTCTTTGCAAGGTATGATTATGTCTACTCTCTCAATAAATTTAGAATTTGAATTCTGGTCTCCCTAACTCTAGAAGCTTTGCTGCTAGTTTTCAGGCATTTTTTAAAGCAGCAAAAACCTTTTTTTTTTTTGTTAAATGTCATATTTTGTAGAACTCCAACATGGCAAATATTGAGAGAGGTGATGCGCTCCCCTTATTCGGTGTTGTGTTGAACGGTTCAGAGCATTATGCCTGGTCCCCTCCTTGGCACTTGGTGGCTGCCCCTCAAGCACCTCTATGGGACCACAGTTTGAAATTCTCTGCCCTGTGCCATGAGATTGGCAGCCTACACCCGCCCAGTAACGGCTGTGCCTATGGCATTCTCATATGTTTTATTTCCTGTCCTCTAGACCTTATATTATGATTTTGTAAGCAGATAAATAGATTATGCTCCTAGGAATACTGTTGATATATGACTTTCAGCCTCTAAGAAAGAGTCTAGTTTCAGAATCGGTAAGCTCTTAGGCTTTTTTTTTTTTTGAAGCAGTGTGCTGACCTCTTTACATTTTTTAAATTAACTGTACATTTTTGAAAGGAATACTGTAATTCTTAGCCTTTACAAGTGCTGTGTTCATCCTGTGGATTTATCTGTGAAACTAGGTAAAGCTATAGATCAGTTGCTCTAGATTTAAAGGAAACTGTAGTCCACTTTGACCCAATATACTACGCTCAAGAGGGGTCAGGTAATGAATGTATAGAGCTGCTGACCTTCTGGCTTTGCCTCGGGTAATCACAGCAAGGGTGAAGGACCTTGTGATATTTGTGTTTTCTGATTAGTTTGGTTGACTGAAAGGACTTTGTCTCAATCTCAAGGGAAGCACCAGCAGTGATTTCTGTTTTGCTCCCTGTCACTCTGAGTCGATAGCATCTTTGCTACAAACAAAGAGTGCTCGCCTGGTATTGAAAAAGAGAGCCTCGTTGTGATCATTTCACATTTGTTTTAGTTGCCACGTTTCTTACTGTCCTTTTTTTTTTTTAGCATGCTGGAGTTTTGCAGAAAAAGAAAACTTTGTGTTTATTATATCAGACAGTTGTCAAGAAAGTAAATGTCACATAATTCAGTGTTATGAATTAGCTTCAATATTGGGAGGAGAAATAAAAGGGCTAAAGCTCTTTTCAAAAAAGCCTTTAATAATTGATTAACGGGAGAAGAAAAATATTGGGGAAAATGAAAGTGAATTTGTTTTTATTGTACAATATGACAATTTCGTACCATGAAAGTCCATTTCTTATCACCAAGGAAACACTGATGTTTCCTCACTGATCCTTCCCTGTCATTTTCAGTTTTTAATTGTACTTTGGACGATATACAAAATATAGGTATAATATATATTTTTAAGTGAAAATATGGATGATTCAATAATCATTGGGCTACATCATTTCATCGGCAAGCAAGATGTTGAGAGTGTGTAGATCTGAGTTGAAATTCTTTCTGTTCTCTGCCAAAAGAATCTGATAAGGATTTATGCAAGAAATTTTGTTGAGTGCCAGCTACATTTCTGGTTCTGTTTTAGGTGCTGGAGCTGTGCAAGTGGAAAACACACGTGCCTGTCCTCATGGGGCTTATGTGTGAATGGGAGGGGGCAGAAAAACTAACAAATAGATAACATTTAAGAACATTTATTTAGTCTCTATATTTTGGATGTCTGATTTGTGCTGAGTATTGTTCTGGGCTCTGGGGTATAGAAGTGAAGAAACACAAGCATTTCTGTCCTTGTGGAGTTTGCATTCTAGTTCACATTCTAATCGGGGGAGACAGACTATAAACGAATTAATAAGTAAAAGTGTAGTATAACAGATGGGAACAAGTGCTATGCCAAAACAACAACAACAACAAAAAACTCACAACAAACAAACAAAAAAAACAAACAAGGAAGGGGAGACTAGGGAGTTGCTGTTTTAGCTGGGTTGGTCAGGGAAGGCTTCCCTGAGGTCCCATGTGAGCCAACGCCTAAAGGAGATGAGGAAGAGCATCAGGAAATACACTCTAGCAGCAAGGGAAGCAGGTGCAAAGGTCCTGAGGCAGGGCCATGATTGGAAGTTTGGAGAAGCAGTAAGGAGGCCAGTGAGGCTGGAGCAAAGTGAGAGGTGGAGAGAGTGGCGGGAGAGAGATGAGAAAACTGGGGTGTGCAGTGCAGTGCGGGGGGCCAGATCACCTAGGAGTATGATGAGAAACCATCGTAAGGTTCTGAGCACAGGAATGACATGATGTGACATTTTAAAATTCTCACTCTAGCTGCTGTGCTGGGAATAGATTTTAGTGGGCACCAAGGCAGATGAAGATTTTCATATTCATGCCTTACCACCTTTTAAATCTTGAGACCACAGAACAGTTGACACTTCCCATTTTTGACATTACTTTCATATATCGATTTATGTTATATTGGTAGAATCTATGTTCTTCAGGATAAATGTGAGCTGACAGATGGATTTGACTCTCTTCCCAGATGGTCCAAACTTTTTATACATTGGTCAAGTCCGTTTGGAATTTTTTCTAGATAAAAAAAAAAATGTGCAAATAAAATGCCATGTATGATTGATGAGGTCAAGTAATATGGATGATAAACTACTTAGGCAATTCTTTTACTTTTGGATACATTGTAAAATTGGTCAAAATGAGATGTTACTGCATTAGAATCCATAGGTTCTGCCAATATCTTCTTACTAATGATTGTTATAGCAGCAGCACCAAAATGGATGAATAAATTGATATAATCTGGGGTCTTGGGCCATTTAGGTGGTATTTGAATTTGAGTTTTTCCATTGCGTGCTTTGGTGGATGAGATGACCTCAGATTTCTTTAAATAAAAATGCGAAGTGGTCAGTCTAATGCTTATCACAGTAGCGCGGGGTAAGCTGAAGCGAGGACACGGACACTTGGCTCTGTTGCACAAACACTTAAGATTTCACCCCAGTTTTGGCTGCCCTGTTGGTACTAGATCAAGCTCTGAAACTCGTCTCTCTTGCCTGCAATTAGAAATAACTATACATGATTGTGCAAGTGAAGTTGCTAGGGCTTAATCATTGCGTAATGAAACCTCCATTACTTGACATGTACCTAAAAAAATTTTTTGGCTTTTAAATGAAAGGCACCTTGGAAGGTAGAATCAGAACAAAGAGAATAGCCTTAATTAGTATAAAAAAAAAGTCCAGGTAGAACAACATGGTTTGGTAGGAAGTTATTTACAGCCCAAATCTAAGATAGAAAATTCTAGCTGCTTGTGTGAGAAAGGGAAAAAGGCCTTCAGGTTTCTAGCAATTGATACGCTGCAGCTAAACAGTGGGCAATAATGAGATAGTGTAATTTAAAATCTGTGCAGTAGTCTGGAGTGCATCAATGCAGTCACAAGAACGATGAGGTAATCTTTCCAGTAAGGTCAACTGTATCTGTATTGGTGTACTGTATCCACTCTCTGTGGCTCAAAGGGAAGGTATTGGAAAGTGTTGAGGGGAGCTCTCAGGATTTCTGACCTTAGAATGGCAGCTGAAAAAACTAAGGGAAAAAAAAGGCATGGGAAATAAAAGTTTGAGGGTAATTTAAAAATGACCTATGGTTCTGAGAGGCTTTTAAATGTAACAGCGAGTGGTGTTTCTGAAGTTCGTTCTTCCTAGGAACTTTCTATAAGACTCTGTGGAAAAAATTGGGTTGGTTTACTTGTGGCAGTGGAAAGCCTATGAAAGTGCTTATAAATGTAGATTTATTTTTACCACTAAAAAAAGGAAAGACATCACAATATTTTGTACTTTTACAATTAAGAATAAAGTTGATTGTTATATTAATTCTCATCGACTATCCTTTGCTATGGGGAGCTTTTCAGGATAGTTCTAGTCTTCAGTTTCCGTGAGCTTTGCACATTTGTCGTGTTTTATTACAGGTAATGTGCACACTCTGAGGCATTTCCTTGTTCTTTATCTTCTCCTTGATCCAAATTAGGTACTTTTCTGATTTTATGACTTAGAAGTTATGGCTTTTCATCACCTCCCGCGGGCATGTGTCCATCAGCCCATCTCACTACTTGTATTTGTTACTCAAAGGCTGAGGGTAGTTTTCCTTACCCCGTTATCTTTCCCAAGGCAGGGTTGCAAAAATCTCTACTCCTCTACTGTGTCATCTCACCTTTCTATTCACAGTAGCCTCTTGGGCCCTGTTTCCCTTAGTTTATTTATTTTCTTTTTCTAATAGTCTCTAATTAGAGTGACTTGCTATTCTTGTACCTTGAAACGAAAATTCTTGCCATTGCTGAACAGGTGATTAGGAGCAACTATGAAGTTACTAAAATTCTGAGAAAGCAAAGGAAACTTGTCTTTGTACTTGATGTCATGATTTGAACAACTTGGCTTTTCATGGATTTGTTTAAGGAAGAAACAGAGTAGCAATTTTTCAGTCTTAATTATCCTTATAAATTAAATAGAAAGAAACGAAAATACTGTCATCACATTTATAAAAGTAGAATAGAGATTTGAGAAATAAATGTTTCAGTGTTATTTGTACCCTTCTCACTTTTGAATGTTATTATTCATTGATGGGCATAACATTTTTCCTCTTTCCCCATTAAAAAGTTTTTATTTAAAAAAATTTTAAAGCTGATGAAAATTATATATATTTATAGTGTACAACATGTTTTGAAATATGTATACATGTGGAATGGCTAAATCAAGCTAATTAACAATGCATTACTTTACATACTTATCAGTTATTTATGGTGAGAATACTCAAAATCTACACTTTTAGCAATTTTCAATTATACAATACATTATTATTAACTATAGTCACCATGTTGTACAATGGATTTCTTGAACTTATTTCCCTTGTCTAACTAAAATATTACATCCTTTGACCAATGTCTTCCCAATGCCATCTCCCTCACTGTTGGCCCCTGGTTACTACTGTTCTACTCTCTGCTTCTTATCAGTTTGATTTTTTCAGATTCTACGTATAAATGAGATCATGCGGTATTTGTCTTTCTGGTCTGGCTTATATCAGTTAATGTCCTCCAGGTTCATCCATGTCGTCACAAATGACAACATGGATTTTCTTCTCTTTGAAGGATGAATATTATTCCATTGTGTATGTACCACTTTCTTTTATACCACATCATTTATCCATCAGCGGACACTAAGGTTGATTCCATATCTTTGCTAGTATGATAATGCTGCAGTGATTGTGGAAGTGAAGGTATCTCTTTGATATACTGATTTGAATTCCTCTGGCTATATAGCCAACAGTGACATTGCTGGATCATAGTAGGAGTTCTATTTTTTAAGTTTTTGAAAAACCATCCTACTGTTTTCCATAATGGCTAGTACTTCCCACTTACTGAGGTATAATTTACGTACGTAAAATGCACATATTTTGAGGGTACAGTTCGATGAGTTTCAGCAAACATATATATCCTCGAATATGTCACCATCACCCCAGAGAGTTCCCTCCTGCCTCTTTGCAGTCATTTCTCTTCCACATCCTGCTCCAAGCAACTACTGATTTGAATTCTGTCACTACAGATTAGTTTTTTTTTTTTTTTTTTTTTTGAGACAGAGTCTCGCTTTGTTTCCAGGCTAGAGTGAGTGTGTCGGCGTCAGCCTAGCTCACAGCAACCTCAAACATCTGGGCTCAAGCGATCTTCTGCCTCAGCCTCTCGAGTAGCTGGGACTACAGGCATGTGCCCCATGCCGGCTAATTTTATATATATATATCAGTTGGCCAATTAATTTTTCTATTTATAGTCGAGACGGGATCTCGCTCTCGCTCAGGCTGGTTTGAACTCCTGACCTTGAGCAATCCACCCGCCTCGGCCTCCCGGAGCTAGTTATAGGCGTGGCCACACGCCGCCCTACAGATTAGTTTTGCTTGTTCTAGAACTGGATACATATGTCCTCTTTGGTGTTTGGCTTCTTTTGCTCAGCATGATATTTCTGAGATCCTTCATGTTCCTTCCTTTTTGTTGCTGACTGACCCGATCCCCCAAGTTTTAAAATAACTTTTCTTCACAACTGTGACTTTCTAATCATAAAGCTGAAGCTGCAGGGCAATTTAGTATTAAAAGTTCTTGTAGCTTCTTAGGTCTGTAGCTTTGTTGACTCAGTTTAGGTGATGTTCATTTTCTACATAGCCCAATGCCAGTGTTGCCCCTGCACCTGCCAGTTCCACCTTTCTTTTCACTTTTCCTTCCATATAGTAAGTAAAAGTGAGAAGTGAGCTGATTACATTGTATATATCCTAGTGTAAAATACCATAATGGTCTTTTTCCAATCAGGAGTTTTCCGAGCTTTGCTGACACTCTGTAAGTTTATCCCTCACTCTCTTGATCAAGAGCCTTGTTGGGTGTTATATGACATGAAATTTATTTTTAACTGTTTCCATTACACATAGAGGAAAAAACTGAGAATTATGGAACCTAGTTGATACAAGCAGAGTATCAGAAATCAAATTCTAATAGATTTTAACTAGGATTTAAAATGGAATGGATTTAATAGCTGGAGTTCTTAACCCAGAGACTGAGAACTCCAATGGGATCTAGCAAGGGCCTTGAAAAATGTGTTTAAAAGTCAAATAAAACCACAGATGCTAAAAACCAGAATTCCCCTCCCTCATCCTACCCCAGTCCCATTTACAACCCTTCATAGGCACTGACTTTTACTCTTTTGGTTGTTTTTTTTCCCCCAGGTATTTCTATTTCTGATAGTATACCTGTGGTATTTTTTTTCTTGAGTTTTCTATTTTAGACATTGTATATTGACTTTCAGCTGTGGACGATGAGGATTTAGCCTCCCCTCTGGATCTTTCTCCCACCACATCTTCTTCCTTCATCCTCTCTATGTGGTTGTATCCTAGTTTGGGGTGAATAAATAATCAGTGCTTAACTTATTATAACTACATAAATATTTACATGTAAGCCATATAGTATCCTATGATTATGTTTTCTCTTGGACAGTTTTGCTGCTGCTGTTTTCCCTGGAGTTAATGAGTGAATGGTGCTGTTACCTTTCTTCTGTGTTAGATTTCCCCTTTCCTGGATCCCATGTTTCTTTTATTCTGTTTTTCTCTTACATTGTTGGAGCACATTCTTTAGTCTTTTGCTGAGATATAGTGCATATGTAGTTTATTTTTTGAGAGCTTACGTGTCTGAAAATGTCTTTCTTCTTTCCTCATACTTGATTGATAGTTTTTCTGGGAAATAATTCTCTCTTAGAATTTTGAAGGTTTATTGTTCCTTCTTCATCTTGTAGCTTTTAATGTAGCTGTTGAAGAAAGTCTGATGCCATTCTGGTTCACAAACCTTTGTACAGGTCCTACTTTTTTCTTTTCTTAAAAGCTTTTAAAGTTGTCTCTTTATGCCTTGTGTTCCTACATCGGAGGATAATGGCTTGGGTCTTTTTGCACTTCATTTTCTTGAGTACTTGGTGTATTCAATCTGAAAACTCAAGTCTTTTGTTCTCGCAAATTTTCTTTTATTATTTTTCAAGCGTTCTTCTCCATTCCATTTTTTTCATTTTTCCTCCCCTGGAATTCCTGTTTGGTTAGTATTGGGTTTTTTGAATCCATCCCCTTGTTTTCTTTTGTCTTCTGTCTCTTATTTTTTGTGTTTTTCTGTTTGGAGATTTCCTTAAAGATATCTTCTAACCTTTCTATTGGATTTTTAAAGTTTCTATTCTATTTTTAATTTCTTAGAGTTGTTTTTCATGTCTGCACACTTTTTATAGCATCATGTCCTTGTTTCATTGATATAATAGCTTCTCTTAATTTTCCTAAGGATATTGATTATAGTTTTTTTTTTTTTAAATTCTGTTTCCTGCATAGTTTCTGTTCCTCCATCTCCCTTCCAGTATACTTTTCTATTTTTGTTTTATTGATACCTATCATTCTATTCTGCAGGCTTTTCTTGAATGTCTGGTGACACTTCGCTAGCCATTTGTATGTGAGAGGGAGGCACCTATAGAGCTGATTGGAAGCTCAAAGCATGTTATGGAGCTTGTCTGTAATGGTTGGGGAGGGACTTAGCAGTCTCTCCAGTGAAACCTCAAATGTCACTGTCTATATAGGTCTTAAGGGGAAAGGCATAAGTCTCTTGTGGTGGGGCTCAAAGTCAATGCCAGTGTTACTGGAACCTAACCATTGAAGGAGGCTGGGGTCTTGAGGGGCTGAGGATCATACTGTTTTAACAGGTTCCACTTTGACTTCATCCTCCTGTTTTCTGTCCAGTGCTTCATGCCTTCCCCTCAGCTATGCCTGGAATTTCTTGGTCCAGATCCTTTCTAATTTAGTCTCTCTAGATTTGGCCAATGCCGTGTGGCTTAATTCGGGTCTGGGGCTCAAGATACGCCTATAAAAAGTTTTCATCCTGCAGCCCTGCCTTCAGTATACTTGCTGCCTCCTTTTCAGTGCTAGCAAACCCTACTCCAGGCTAAGGTTTTCAGATTTCTCTGGTTTGCTAATTTTTATTGTCCACCATCCATCATCTTGCCAGCTTCCAAAATTTTGTTGTCATCTCTTATTTGCTGTTCCTCCTCTGTTCTCTCTTTTCTTGTGTTTCATGCTTGAAAGAAATTCCTTTGTTCTTACTTTGGTGGGATTGCAGGAAGGAGTAGAGATAAATAGAATCATCTTTGTCAGATTTTCAAAGGAGTCTGTGACCTCCCCCAAGTTAATAATCATTCCACTGTGCTTATCAATGGAGATTACAGAGTCCTTTTATTTAAGACTTTTTTTTAAACCTGAGAGAGTCTCGTAGAAGTATGATTTTTTGGTATTGTCCTGAAGTTGTATGAGTGGATTAGGTACTTTCTCAAGAAACCTTCTAATCTTAGCATTTTATCTTCCTATTTTCCATGCTTGTTGGAAAAATGTTGAAATTTAGTTTTGTAATTGCAGAAACAAGCATCAGTGAAAATGTTCACCACCACACCAGATCTTGTAGATGAGGAATATAGATTTTTCAATTGTTAAGAACATGGTAGACTTTCTGAGGTGATGGAAATGTCCCATATATGGATGATGGCTTGGAACATACGAGTGAATGCATTTGCCAAACTCACCAAAGTGTACACTGGAGGTGCATTCGTGTATAAATTTTACCTCAAACAAAAAAACAGAAAAAACTGTAAACAAATATTAAATTCTAATTTAAATAAAAATACATGTTAGAACTGTCAAAAGTATATGAAAGCAGTTTTGTGCATTGTAAAAGGTCATGGTTCTTTTTATTTTTCTATGTTGTAAAAAGTGAAAATTTTTAACTAGGGTAGGAAATAAAAACTCTTATGTGTATTGTAACTACCCCTCCCCATTACTTTTCTTTTTATTTTTATGTTGTGCTTGTGCTAGTCGCTATACTATGCAGATCTGCAAGAATAGTGGAGATTGTCTTATTTAATATCTAATATTCAGAACACAAGGCAAAAAATCCTCGGTTATCCTTTCATTTTGAGGTTATCTCTGGATTTGCGTCCTGTTTTTTGGAAACTGGGGTTATTTGTATTTTAGTCAGTTGAAATATGAGCACTCAAGTTCTTTGGTTGCAAACTGTAGCTGGAGTGCTAGGGTTAGAAGTGTAGACCAGTGGCCTATCAGCTGAATAGGAAATTTGCAAGGAGGACTGGGGAAGGAATAATAGCATGTACTCTCGCATCGATCATTCCCTGTTTAGATATTATCAACATTTATGTGGTGCTTGATATTTTCAGAGTGTTTTATCCTTAGTAATTTTTTTCTAGATTCACTCAGGTAGGCTAGGTCTAGTTTTCTCATTTCATGAGAGAGAAACTACAGACAGAGAGAAGTAGAGATGTGCCCAAGTGAGTGAGTGTGAGAACCAGGATTAGAATTTTGCAGGTACACCAATGAAGGGGAATACGTGGGAGTGGGAATTAGGAACTGTTGCATACAGAGTACCAATGAAGACGACCAATCATGACTTTAGACTGGCAAGACTTTGGACTGACCCAAGATTGAATCTGTTTTATTGCAGGTAAAGGAGAACCTGCTTTCATGCAAGATGCTATTGCATTGCAAACGGGATGAGCTTCGGAAACTGTGGATTGAAGGAATTGAACACAAGCATGTCCTGAACTTGTTGGATGAAATTGAGAATATCAAGCAAGTACCTCAAAAGCTGGAACAGTGCATGGCCAGCAAGCACTATCTCAGTGCCACCGACATGCTGGTAAGAGAACAGCCAGTGCTAGGGGTCATTTCTGCTAAGATGTAAAGGCACTCCCCTTTGTTCTCTCTGAATCCTGTAATGCATGTAGCACATTACAGACTGCCCTCTTGGGATTCATGGGTCCTTGCAGGTGAAGCCTGGCTGGTTCTCTTTCTAATTCCAGTGTTCGAAATGGTAGGTGATTATTGTTTATGTATTGTCTGCCTTTGGAACAATGGCAAGAAATATAATGATAAGAAACCAGTACTTAAATCATGTTGGAATGGTAATGAGAGGTGTTTTTTAGCTTTAGAGGAAGATAGTTAATGAATCCCATTTTAAAGAATGAAATCTACATAAGGCAGAACTTTAGAAGATTTATAAACTTAGTGTTCCATAAACTATTTGTAAGAATTTTACATTAAGGTTATGTTTTTTTTCCCTTTAAATTGATAAGAAAGAAAATTTGTTGAGACTAATACTGGAAGTAACTTTGTTAAGCAAGAGTACTCCCTAGCCTTCAGCCTCTCTCTCTCTTACATAGTCTATTGTGTTCTGCCACGTTTTGAATTAGTGAAAGTTCCCGGTAGGTTGCAGTTGGTGGGGCATGTGGCTGAGTGTCAAGAAGAATAAAAAAATAGCAATAAAGAGTTTGCTCCCTAGTAATCCTAATTTTCCCAGGGGCTGTGGCTCTGAGAGAGGCTGCTCTATCTCCCTCTCCCTTCCACTCACACCCCCACTTCCATCGCACTCAGAGTTGGCTGAGGACTCACAGAAGCCCTCAGCAGCAGATGGACTGCATCTGAATTTTGTTTCACCAAATTAGGTTGGCGTTAACATTGGAAAAAAAAACACTGAGGGGATTTGTGGGCACACAGGTTAAACACTCTAAGTGGTTCTAATTCATACAGACTTCATGAAATATTTTGCTAAAAGTCCTTCATAAGAAGCTTTTAACAAAATCTAGTAACAAAGGAGGGAGAAGTAACATGATATTCTATCATACGCTAAAACCCGGTTACATGATAGGACGAAAAGGTCACTTTCCACAGTGGAGGGTTAATCATGGTCTGCTCTTGGGAGTGGCAAAAGAATCGGTTATTTTCCACGTCTTATTCAAAATGACGTTTTCCTTAACGACTGTAGGGTGTCCGACAGGAAGACAGTTGGTTACTTTTCAGCTTTAATGTTGGTTTATGAGTTAGGAATGAATATTTGTACTGATTATCAAGATTCAGTAGTAAGAATAGAGAAGTTTCTGTATGTTTGTATAGCATAGTGGCATATACACATCTATTTGAATCATGATTTTTTTCGGAATGGGCCTGCTTTTAAGTTAGTTGCCACATATTAAAATTGTTAGAATTTATGTCTGTGTTAAGTATGTTCCTTTTAGGATTTCAGATTTTTGTTTTATAGTCCTATTATTTAAGAGCTGATTTATTTACTTAAGGGCTAATCAATAATGAATACTGTCCCCTCTCCTTTTAGTTGACCCATTTTTCTTTAGGACCACATTAAACAACTTCTTTATATTCTTGATCTCAAGTTACAGGAATTTGACTCTAGCTAGCTTAGGTAAAAATAATTGCTAGACTCTTGTAGCCAATCTGCTATAAGGATGGGGATATATGTGGAATGCCACCTATATGTTCTCCCTGTGTGTCTTCTTCATTGTTCCACTGGTCTCTGGTCTCTTCCACATGTTGGTTTGGGCATTGGGAGAGAACAAGGGATATAGTCTGCACTCTACATCTTCCTAGCTTTGCAGAAGAAAATAATGTGTTTTTTTTTCTCATTCAAAATTTTAAATTTATAATCTAGATTGAGCCAGCATGGGTACTATGGTCATCAGTTCTAATTAAAACCATGTGGTTGGGGAGTTGGGGGGTTGAAGAAGAATAGTTGCCTACAGAAGAGAGTGTATATGAGACACATTTCCCACAATTTTTTTTTTCTGTCTGTTTGAAGTTGTTTACATATTCTGGTTACTAATTCTTTGTCTGTTAGATGGTTGCAAACATCTTCTCCCAGTTAATGGTTTATCTTTTTACTTTGTTTACTCTGTTATAAAGAAATTTGAGATTTTAATGAAATAAAATTTTTTTCATTCATGTTATATGATTTTTGTTTTAAGATAATTTTTTTCTGTTCCAATTTCATAAAGAGCATCTCCTATGTTTTCTTCTTTACATCATTGAAAATCCATTTTTTTAAATATAGTGTGAGCTAGGGATCTAGTTTTATCTTCTATAGAGTCAGTTAGCTTAGACTATTTATTGAAACCTTTTTCTACTGATTTGTAATGCTATTTTAGTCACATACCAAGTTTTCACATATGCATGAGTCATTTTCCTAAGCTCTTTATTTTGTCCACTTGATCTCATTTGTTGTACTGTACCAAAACCATATTGTTTTAATTACTATAACTTTATAATATATCTTAATGGGAGGTGAAAACATGGCTTCATCTTGCTATTCAAAATTATCTGTGTTATTCTTGGCCCTTTACTCTTCCACAGGAATTTTAGTACTAGCTTGTTAAGTTCCACTAAAAAGTGTGGTGGAATTTTGATTGAATTTAAGAGTTCTATCTTTGCAATATTGAGTCTTACTATCAGTGAACAGGATGTGCCTCTCATTTATTGAAATCTTCATTTATGTCCATTAATAATGCTTAGTAATATATTCCTTAGAGGTATTACATATATGTTGTTAGATTTATTTCTGGGTATCATATATTTTTGGTTGCCTTTTAAAACAGTAGCTCTTTGTTAATTGTAGTTTCTAGTTATTTGTTGCTGGTGGATAAGGATATGATAGATTTTTCATTTTTAATTGACCATATATTTTCCTGAACTGATTCCCAATCCTGTCTGCCTGGAAAATGATGACTTATCCTTTAAGACTTGGCTCAAATTTCATCAACACTCTGAATGTCCCAGACATTCAGATAGCTAGGTGATTTTCTTTATGTTTGCATAGGCTCATATATTTCATTTTAATATAATTGCTTTCATTTGTATGGTAGGTCATTGAGGGTAGGGGTTGTGTCTTATCTATTTTTGTCCGCCCTGTACCTAGCATAGTGTAGCTCATATAGTCACAGTTCACAAATCATTAGCCAAATGGGTAACTGTGTGAAAGACTTCAACACTAGTACATGGAGAAAAAGGTGTTTTTTTTCCTGGGAGCTTTGGTCTGTTTTTTCTCCTTTGATTAGTTTTTTAAAAATTTTATTATTTTTTTTTTATGGTGAGGTTCTCTGGTTTCTAACCTTTTCTTTTTGTAATATTTCAATGAACAACAATTATAATGATAGCTAGTATGTATTGAGCACTTCCTATGTGCTAGTACCATTTTAATTATGTTATATTTGCTAACTCATTTAATTCTCACAACAAACCTGAGAGATAGGTTTTTGATATCATTACTGTTTTATAGATGAGATGGTTGCTTTACATGATCTTGTGAGACGGCATATGCCAGTACACAATGATTTGTGTATCCCAATATACAAAGATTTCATGGAGGTAGGATTGAAGGTGTGCTTAAAAGACTGAAAATATTCTTCAACTTGCTCTTTTGCATATAAGTAATAGTAAGTTCCATAATTGCTCTTTCATTGGACTTCATATGAAATATAATATTTTCTTTCCCCATGGTTATGTGCTATTAGAAGAAAAATCTACTTAAGGCATCTTAAGGGTACAAATGGAAATCTTTGCTTAAAGACATCAGATGAAAGTAAAGACAAAACAATCTAGTCTTTTAAAACCTCTTGATTTCCTTGGATTTATTTGCCAAAAGATTTTACATTTCCATTTTAAGGCAGATGCAGATGCATAGTAATTTAATCCCTACTCAGTATAGATTAATAAATCCAGAGTAAATAAATCTAGTGGTGACCCGCGACTCTTGCCAGCTCTTGCTATTCCTACATCACCTTCAGACTAGGCTGGTAGCTATAGGCTTAAGATATTTATTTCTTTTTTTGATATGATAGCCCGAGTATTGCATAAAATAATTAAATTGTCATACAGGAAATGTCTGCAAATAGGTCTGTCCTTTTGTTTCCTTCTTCAAGGTAAACAGCTGCTGTTGGCTTATGAAAAGCTAAAAGTGATCCAACAAGAAGCCTGTAGCCGTCACATTGAAATCAGAGACTTGATTAATATTGTAGCCTGTAGCTTTGTGATATGTATGGTTTAAATTAGACCTTTGCAGTCATTGTGCTGGGTTGATGCAAGCACATTAATGACATAATTTCTGGTTGCTGCATCACATTTCTGCAGTCTGTCCTTTGTATTCCACTCACATTAATTGAAGTAATTTTGCCAGTGAAGCGTGTTTCAAACCTCTGCATTTAAATTGAAATTTTAATTCCCTTATTGTCTTGAAAAGACGGCTGAAGATGCCTTGTTACAGGTTTCATTATCACTCAAAACACTCCAGCTGCTGGTTCTAATGTACGAAGACTGATTAATTCTAGGAAGAATTATTAATATAAGAATAGCAACGTCTTCCCAGCGGCATGAGCTAACCGGGAAGGTATTTCATGATAGTTAATATTTTTATAAACTTTTTTAAAGGAAAATTTGTGTAGAAGTCTGCATCAAGCTAAAATTGCACAGAGGAGCTTTGAAAACCACTTACACAAGTTCTGATTTATCAGCCCATAGAAGTCAATTCATAATTGCGTTCAATCACTGGAAACCAAGCCCGTGCGAGTGGTTTTGAAGCACTTTAGCTGACAGTCACAAGGCTTGTGACTAAAATAATTTTTTCATTTCTAAGCCTTCCTGAGATTGTAGAGATTTTGAATGTCTCTTAATCATTTTGTCTGTCTTTATTTATATGCCTTTAAAAAAAGAATCCATAGCTGTATAGTCAGATAAGAATTATTATGATAATTATAATAATAACTTATATTTATGTAGCTGTCTTCTTCCCAGAGGATCCCAGAGTGCTTTGCTGAGAGAATGGTGTGGTGGAATTATTTTACTTACACTGTGAAAATGTAGCCATATATAGGATAAAGAGAGTAAGGTAGTCATTTTCTAAGATCCTGTGATAAAAGTAGGTATATTGATAGTATTCAGTTTATAGGATTCTTAGCAATTGTTGGGTAACATTGAGAGTTGTGAACATCAGCATAGGTCTTACTTAGGGTCAGGTGGACCTGTGCTTGAATCCCAGCTTTGATTCTTAGTAGCTGGATGACTTTGGCTAATTATTTAATCTATCTTTGCTGAAAGTTGGAGTTAAGAATATTATATACCACCAAGAGTTGTTGAAAGGATGAAATGAGTTATTAAGCCATGTATGTGAAGTATGGGCAGTATACAGACTAAGTTCTTTGAAATGTTATTTCTAATTGATTATTTTTTACTGGTAATTGAGCATATGGTGATTGCTTCCATGTTATAATCTCAAAAATTGTCCTGGAGGTGGATTTATTTTGAGTTAGTAAAAGAATTGAAGTGGGGCTAGGTTAAGCATTTTTGACTCCTTTACTTCTTGGCCCAACATGGATATGTACTGGAATGAAAGACTGGCCTAACCTTTTTATAGTCAAAGGAACTCTGAAAGGCAGATAGGATTTTTCTCAGAAAGCAGTTCTCATCTGCTCTAATACATGCACAGATGGCTGATCAAGATCCAAGGTTCTATGCCATATTTTTGGAATTTGGCATGGACAAATGTCAGATTTTTTGTTATTAGTTACCTATATGGTGTACATCAAGTGTATGTTCATAGAATACCCATTGCTTGTAGATTACAAGCAATGTAATTTATTGGTAAACTATCCAAGGTCAACTTGCTGCAAAATCTGCTCATAAGTACTAAATGTGTTAATCTGCTGGGTATTGTAATTAAATATATGCCAGATCAGTATTGGAAGATGCTTATCAAAAATGTTGATTTTAGTGTTAGAGTGGTTCATGTTAAGCTGTTCTTTCTGTGAATACTTAGCAGGCCCAGTGGCCGAGTGAGGTTGCTGCCATTTGGGCCAGTAGATCTGTGTCGTTAGCAAATAGATTAAACTTATTTTCTCTTCTTTATGAGTGGGGAATGGAATGCATCCACTATCAAATAATTAATGGACAAGTAAGAGAAAAAGGAGCCAAAATGTACATCCCTTTTATCTGGCTTGGAAGTTTCTGAGATCTCACACAACTTTTTTTTTTTTTCTCATTATTCTGGGAATGGTATTGAGGTGAAAGCTCTACAGATATAAGAAACTGGAATATTCTAGTGAACTTCTTGGTCTGAACCTGAAAGTGGTTCAATGACTGCAAAAATGTTCCAATATTCCATATGGATTTCTCCACATCATGACAAAAATATATCAATGATCAATAATGAAATAGCCATCACTAAAGCCCATCTGTTCCTAGTGTAGAATATCAGTTTGAAAGTCTGAGGCCGATATTCTGTACTAATAATTTATCAGGAAAGAATCTGGCACATATTTCGATAGACAAACGATTGGGTCTTTAACATGTGATGATGACATTGTTGATCACGTCTGTTGTTGGTATGTGTATCTGTGAAGGTGGCCTTAACCTTGAAGGAGATTACATGCTAGTTGGAAGAGACAGATGGTGAACAAATAACCAGCATAAACAGTGTCTCATATCATGATAAATGCTATGGAGAAAAATATAATAAGAAAGGGACTACTGGGGTGGGGGCAGGGGCAGTGTGGTTTGATATTTAAATAGGGTGGTCAGCTGTATCTGTTTCTAGCTCCTCCTCATTCCCTCGAATACCTATATCTGATCTCTTCAAAAAGATTTAGGAAAAGCTGAAAATAAAGCTATTAAATGAATAACCTTGTTTTTTTTGTGTGTGTCCAAAATTAAGTGCGTAGGTTTGTGGCAGCTTTATTTTTCTCTTATATAGTGAAAGTACAGGGCTTTATAGCAACTATTTTTCATGCTGCTCAAAGCCCTTTTTGTTTATATTTGTTTTTGAATGCTGGAGTTTCTAAAAACTAGACTGCTTGATAGGCACCTGGTTATTGTATTAGCTTTCTTTCCCTTTTAGTTTGCTTTTTAGTCTCCTACTCATTTGCCTCTTTTATTTTAAAGCCATTAGAAATTCTGCTCTTAAAAGGTTCAGCAATTTCCATGTGGCTGGCTTAGCTGTAGGGCAGTGATTCCCAAACTGCACGTTAGGAGATCTTTCAAGAATTCTAAAGCCCAGGCTACATCCCAGACCAGTTAAATTGAAATTTCTGGGGGTGGGCCACTGGCTTCAGTAATTTTTGATGTTCTCTAGGTGATGCCAGTGTGCAGACAAATTTGGAACTACTGGTGTAGGGGATAGCTTGTGTTATGAATAGAGCAAAACTCATTGTTCTTGTTTTCTTTTAATAACAGCTGTAAGTAGTGAGAAACCAAATATTTGTGCAAGACACACATCACATGGTGATATTTGCATTTATGTAGAAATGTTATTGTTTGAAGTTGCTTTGTTGCCATTCTTTATTGTATAATAGTTTGGGGATAGAGCTGTTAAATATTTGGCTTTTAGTCTGATTTTATAGTCTCATTATTTGGTCGAAATAGATTTAGTTTAATAATTAGATTAGATGATTCTCCAGGTTTGGACGGATGGCCACTCTTTAGAGCTGTCATCTTGATGCTCTGGTTTGTGCATATTTGCTGTAGGTCTGTATTTGGCTTATTACAGAGATTTAATGGGTTGAAATTGGGGCATAAATTTATAAATTGACAAGTGGTGGCTGTTTATAGTGTGGCATAGTGGAAACAAAATGGATTTGAAAAGCAAGAAGTTCTTAGTTCTAGTCCTGACTCAACAACTTACCAGTTCTGTGAACTTAAATAAATCACTTTCTCTTCCCACTTTTTTAGTATCCTTATCTGTAGAGTGTTTATACAAATACTTACCTTGTCTGGATTATAGAATGGTTGTGAGAATAGAAGTGAAGTATTATACAGAAAAAGTGCTTTGTAAAATATGAAGCAGTATACAAATTTAAAATGGTATGGGCGTCATTGTTATCATTATTATTACCGAGTGCCAGGTTAAAAAAAAAAAAGGCAGTAGTCCAGGGGTTGTTTACATTGAACAGATTTTCTTTTCTGATGCTACCATCCCTGATGCACACATGTTTTAATTATGTAAACCACGTGTGCATGTCTGCACATTTTTTGAATCTGTAGGAGTGCTCTCAGTCAAGAATAACACCCTAGTTGTTTGCTGACATCCTTCACTATATTTCTGGTTTCGGCCTCACATATGAACTTCCTTGAACATATTTTTTATTGGTCAGTCTGTGGCCAGATGGGAATCAGATATTTGTGTAAATTGCAGCTGATGACAACCCATGATGTTGACAGGCGCTTTCTGTCTCCACTTGATGATGGTCTAAGAATGCTAATCAGTAGCTTTTCCTTGGCTTGAGAGATAGGAGGAGCTTGATAAAGAAGTCTATTTTCTCTGAGATTCCCCATACTAATTACCTGTGGTTGCCTGGCTCTTAAAATGAAAAGAAAAAGCCACATTCCTCTATCATTCCTTTGTGGGATTTTAATAGTTCATGTTAGTAAAGAGCCGTATAAGTGCTGAGCATTTCTAATGGATTTGGGGCTCTTGCAGAGTGTGGGCGAAATTATCTTGATTTAAGTGTGAGCTTGAAGTGATTCTCAGGGACCTCCTTTGCCAACTCTTAAGAAGAGAGTTGTTCTGTAACTTTTTCTTGTCCCAGAGTAACAAATAAGGTGATGGGGTAAGTGACTTTGGGACACTTCTTAAAAGAGAACATCTTTCCTAGTGGTCTCTTCTATTGCATTTTGGAGTAGAAACTTAGGTTTTAATGCTCTCTTTGTAGAACACTGATGGGAACTGGAATTGAAGGGACCAAGAGGGGAGGAATAGGAAAGAAATTTCTTCTGAGCTTTTCTATAGCAATTCACAATTCTTACCTTTTTCATAAGGCGTTGAGTATAGTTTAATTTCATCAGGAAAGTGATCGTGAACAGATCTGAGGCCATTTAGAACAAATAAGGCTCTTAATCTGACACTATGCATCAGAACCCCTAAGTATATGAAGAACTTTGAACTTGAAATTCTACTTCTAGAATTTTATGTTAAGGAAAGAATTAGGAATTTTAATTATTGTGTGTTCAAAAACATGTACACAAGGTTATTTATCACAGTAAGATCTATGAAAGTGAAAAAAATGGCAATGACTTAAACGTAGGGAATTAGTTTAAGTCACTGTGGTATATTTGTATTTATATATTATGGAGTAATATGAACACTGAAAGTCATGATATTTAGGGATGGTCAGATGTTCTCAATATATCGCCAACTGAAAAAGCATGTTTAAAAATAACTATTTGGGGGGAGTGGGAGGGAGTGGATGCTGGGAGCTCCTTGGTGGGTACGACGTGTGCTGTTTCAGTGACGGGTTCACTGAAGGCCCTGACGTCACCACAGTGCAATACATCAGTGCAGCAGAATTGCACTTGTACCCCATGTATAAGAAACAAATGGAAAATAATAACCTTTTTAATAAAAACTTTTCACGTTAGAGTGATTGGAAGGAGTCAGGCTAAAATATTACGTATTATTACATCAGATGAGTGAGAATATGGTTGGTCTTTTTCTTTTGTGATTTTCTGTATCTTTCAAGTTTTCTTGGTTGACCATGTGTTACTTCTGTAATTTGGAAGTAAAATAAAGTTTTAGGAAAAAAAAAAAAGTACCATTCTGGGCCTTACCTTTGTTTTAATCTTGAAAATAGGAGTAGGACCCCAGTCTTTACAATATTTAAAGGTCTCTTACAATAGAAAGTTCTTAGATTTCATCTCTCAGATACTGTCATTCTGTTAGGCTTTGGCTGATCGAATATCTTAGAAGACCTGGGTGCCCCTACTTTAGGAAGAATAAAAAAAAGAAGATGCCTTTTGCTTTAATATAATATGGGAATTATTTGTGGTAGAATGCCCTGATGTCTAAGAAAAAATACCCCAAAAAACAAAATAAGTGTGATCCTAAAGAAATCTCAAGAATAGTTTAATAAAATTGTATGCTTTTAGAGCAAGTCTGTATTTTATGGCCATATGGGTGTGAGATCTTTCGTGAAGCTAGAAGTCCCATTTGATCTCTTTTGAGTTTTGTTTTCTAAGACAGATTTGAAGATACTTTAAAGAAGAAATTCACAAGTGAAGGGACTTTTCTTTGAAGGTACTTTATCTTACAGGCCCCCCTCTCCTTTCATTCACTTATCAATAACTTCATCTCATTTGCCTTATCCTGTAAATTCCATTATCTCCCTGGCAGTCTATTGCATTAAGCCCTTAGTACCTAATATCGCCTCATTTACATTGACACATGCTTGACCTCAGCCCTTCTCCTCTTTTTGTTAATGCACCAACGAGCACTGATATCTCTCTGGAGCATTATCATTTGGCTGTTAGCTCAACTAATAACAACCCTTCATTTGAGCCGGTGAAGGTTTATTAAATAAAAACATGCAATAACCTGGCCGTAATGAAGGAAGAATGGAGGTAGGCAGCATCCTGTTTTTAATGGTGAGAGCACGCTGAGTCTGCTTAATAGGGATTGGGTTTCCTCGGGGAAATGGGGCACCTGGATGGGTCTGATCAATGTTGTGTTATCAGGCTGATTTAAGAATGGGCATTTTTGATTGCCTGATTTGGTCTCTGTTGATGAGCATATAGGCTGAGAGTGAGGGAGGACAAAGTGTTCTTGTTTCTTGCACTTGGCCTTGCCCTTTGGTAGTGCCAAAGCTGAGCCACAGGGAGCCAAAACTTCTAAGTCTTTTTCAGTGAAGCTGGGATCAGGGACTATTTTCCCATAGATCCACGAAGACCCCCCCCCCAAAAAAAAAAAAAACTTTCACTATAGCCTTGACCCTTGAATGGGTTCCCTTTATTCTCCCTTGCATGTCCCATTCTTTTATTCCCCCCTGACCAGCATTGTTGCATGAGGACAAGTCTAGCCCCTGTGGTGGCTGGTGTCAAGCTGTAAACAAAAATACAATGGATGATGTTATCATGTTTATATTTAAATATGGGTTCACTTGCATGCACTTTTATGTCACACAAGTGAATATGATATTATATTCTACAAATAAAATTGTTCCTAGTTTATCTGATGCAGTTAAATACATAAGGTTCCATAAAGGCCACAATATTCTACAGAGTGCTATGATGTCCCATGTGCACCAAAGCTTTCAGACCTGCTTCTAAAACTGTTACTTTGAACCTAACAGTTGAAATATGAAATAGCCAATATGTGATCATTTTTGAGCTGTCTAAACAGTATTTTCATGTGGTTCAAATGAATACTTGAAAGGTGCTGTGTGTGTGTGTGTTTTGTTTTTGTTTTAATCTGCATTCACTTTGTCTTAAGCACTTTCTGATAAAGATCAAAACTTCTGCTTTGGGAAAGAAGGCGAGTGAATGATCTTGGATTCTTGGTTTGTGTGGTAAACGCCTTTCCTGCTTGCTTAGAGGTGGGCCTGAATCATTCTGTGCCCACCTCCCAGAGGCTTCTTGTGCCCACCTGGGACTCCCTGAGCTTGGAGGTGGACGCTTATGGGGAGGAGTGCCGTGTTGGGGATCTGGGCCTGAAGCCACTGGAGGTTGCCTTTAAGCAGTTGAGGGGCAGGGCGGCAGCAAGTGGGTGACCTGGGCTCTAAGTAAATCTAGGGCTCTGAGGGGTGTTTCTTTGGTTTTTCATAGCCAAAGTTGTTTTGGTGTCCTTAGTTAGATGAGACTGTTCACACGTTTGTTTACCTTGTAACTTCTTATGTACATGTGGGGGGGGGGTGGTCGATGTCAATTTTCTGGAGTAGCCTGATTTCATATCTTTTTATTGCTTCTGTAAGTTGGGCCGTGGCAACATTTTCAAAATGGTTTGCTTTCTTTAGGGAATCCGTTGCCAACATAAGCATTTTTATTAACTAGTGGGTGGCTTAGTTATCAGGTTGGTTTTGTATTTAGTTATACGTTTTTCTTCTTTTTTTGGTTTGGATCTTATTTCTCTTTAGAAACAGTTACTCCTGTCATTTTAACGTTGTGTGTCTTGCCCATCCCAACTAAAAAAATAAAAAGATCATAGTTTCTTTTACAGCATTTCTTCAGTGAAGCAGCCGCCGAGAATGGCCAACTTTAGTGTTCCTCCAAAATGTGTCCCTTGGTTCATGTCAGAGCACAAAGAGCACAAAACTAGATTTTTTTTTTAATCTAATAAACTCGAGTGAGACTGGCTGAAGATGAGCACTCAACTATGAAATAATAATTTGCTATATTTTACATTAAAATGAAATTGAGAAATAGGTATTTGGGAAAGAAAACTTAAGGGTATAATAGTTCTTAATTACAAAGATTTTCCTGTATTGTAGACTTACATCTCAACTCAAGGCAAAAATTTTTAAATTCTTGATTAAATATATTTTAACTCTATGTTTGACCTGTTTTTTGAGTTATAGAAATATTTTTTAGAATTTTTGTTTTCTTATATGGATAGGTTTCTCAGCAAAACATGGTGTCCTGTTCAATATCATGTAATAAAATGTTTTGAATATGTTTATCTTCATAAAGGAAATATTTTGTTTTCAACTCTAAAACAGATTCTGTTATCTATATGACCAGTTTCCAACTGTGTTGACTAGAACATTGATATTCTATTAGACGGTAATAGGTGTTCTTTGAAAAACTTCCCTGCTAGTAGTATCTTTTTTCTTCCAAAATTTATTTTTTAAAAAATATATGTAAGAAAAATTCCAAATATAGTTAGTCGACTCTAATAACTATGTAGTATTCTAACTTTAAGAAATGGTAAGGCATACCTGATTATTCTAGGAAGTCCTATTAGAGATCATTTGGGGCATAAATGCATGGTGTTTGATCTGTGAGTAGATGAATATAAAACATTTATCAATTCACTGCACTGTGCATGTTGTCTATTTAGTCTTTCATCTACTATGGCTTGTCCTGTAAGTATATATTTATAGGACATTATATTAACATTTGTGAACCTGATTGGGAACCTGATTTTGATAAATTATTATAGCAACTAACCTGTGAGACTGTTTTGTTGCTATCCACTTTAATCCAATGACATCTCTTAAATTCTTGTTGATGTTTCATCAGTGTGTTATTTAAAAAGTACCATCTTCATTAAATTTGGAAAACAGTGAAATAACTTTTTAAATGACCCCTTCCCATACCTTAAAAATGTCTTTTATCATTAGTTATGCACATTTGTAAATATAAATGGTTATTTAATGATTTCTACTAAATTCCAAGTGTCAGTAAATACCTGGAAACCAGACCTCCCAGTACATCAGATTGACTGTCATTGGTGGTCTGCTGGGTTGACTGCTGCCTCATCAGCTTTTCCTTTTTGTCTAAACTTTATGGTACAAGCTACTTAAAACCATGTAAGTTGAATGTCAGATTTCTAAACTGATACTCTAGAGATCAAATGTTGCATTTGATTAACCATTTTCTTTACATTGATCAGAGTACCACTTTGTATGGTAGAGCAGGGAAAGACAGTGGCTTTGCCTAGCTTCTATTATTATAGCTTTATAATTAGACTGTTAATAATTGAAAGCCAGAAAATAAAACATAGTGTTTTCTTATAGAAATGAGATACTATTGTTTCTCTTTTGTGTTAAGGTTTTCAAATCTTTGAAGTTCTTAGACTACTCTTAATTATGTATATTTTAATTGTCCTTGTGTTTTAGATCAAGGAAACTTATGCAGAAAATTTGTCATTTAAATGGTTATAATGTTTCAATGAAAGGGATGATACTTACTGAAATGCTGCATGTTGGGAATACCCTCTGAGATTTCTTTATTCACAGAATAAATAGGTACTGAATTAAAAGTAATTTCACTGAGCACTCAGTATGTGCCAGGCACTGCATTAAGTGTTTTACCTGAGTTTTAAATTTTAATTTAATTAGGTGGCTTTGAAAGTTGACAGTGTTATATAATTTTGTATTTGGAGCATGAGTTATTTGGGTTAAAAATCTTCATGCAAATTCCTCCAAACAAATCAAGTGTGGATGTGCAGTGGGTGGTTTTTAAGCTTAAATATCTCAGCTGGATTTAATTACCTTAAGGGATAAGGCTACATGATGGGCCAGTGGTTTACCAAATTATTTTTCATTTCTGGATCCCGGTGTCACTGAAGGTTAATGCATCCTCTTTTCTCTGCTAGAGAACCGAGTTAAAATCCATTTTAGGGCATGAGTGTAAATGAATGTTTTGTTGTTTTTCCTCCTTGGGGACACTTCGGTCATTTTGTGAGGCTTTTTCCATTTGGAATTGCTGGCAGCATGCACTGGGCCCAGGGGCTCAGTAGTAGGGGCAGTTGCAAGTCAGCATGAAAATGAACCGGCAGGCTTCAGAGGGCAGAGCTGGCCCAGGGCTTGTCACTCTTCCATTCCTTGATTCTTTCTCAGTTAACTTAAGGAAACTTATTTGCTACTGACATTTGATTATAGCACATCACAAAACAAGTGCTGTGTTTGTGGGTTAGCCGTTGCATTTTCCCTACCATTTCAGGCTGTTTTTGTATGTGGTAGCGACAAAGCTTTCTGTAATCACTGTCCACAAACTCCTGTCTATGAGATGAGAGTTAGACTGCTGTGGACCTGTGCTCAACATTTTTGATCACCAGTGTGTCTCATGGCTTTCGTTATCTATTGCTTTTGTGTAAATGCTTTATGTTATAGAAGCATGTTTTTATCCACACCTACATTTAAGGGTTTTACCCTGAAGAATTAGTTATTACCTTTATCTGTATCTATAAGGCATATTTAGAAGTATTATATAACCTAAGCAGGGAATAGTCATAGCACATTGATCCTTCAGGGAGCTCACTTGTGCTCTTTTCCCTCTAAGTTCAGCTTGCAGTCATATCTCTCTCTCTCTCTCTCTCTCTCTCTCTCTCTCTCTCTCTTTGCATTCTTCATGATTTACTCTACCTTCCTTTTTTTTCCTCCTAAGAAATAATACCTAGAGTATGCTCTTCACTTCAAGTTTTTTCTTTAAAAAATAGACAAGATCGTTATACATACAGACACATAAGTATAACTTTGTATACATGAATAAATGGGATCATATCATACATGCTGGGGTTGTTTCCTTTGCAGTTACCACTTTGAGTTTCAAAGTGAGTTGCTCCAGGTTTCCTGAATCTTTCATCTTCTCCATTTATTTTAAGCATTCCTACACCAATTTGATTCAGCCTATTAATTTTGGTGTTTAAGTCTCCCAAAGCACTTTGTACCAGGAGTATCTTACCTGGTGTATTTTGTCTTCCATTCACCATTCATATCCTATTTCTTCTGTCATACTGGATCAGGCCAAGGAGAGGTCATGACTTCTCTTTTCCACTTGTAGCATTCATGTAAAATGCATTTACCTCTTTGTGTATGTGTGTATGAGAAAGAAGTGAGAGAGCACCTGACTCTATTTAGACATACATGTGACTCAGGGTAACCAAGCTCTGACTCATGATTGCGGGAAGAGTAAGTTATTATTAAAACATTCATAAGGTATGTTTTAGTTAGTCTTAGTTTTAAAAGGCTTACTTTGATTAAAGATTGATTTAAATCATGAATACATGGGATTCTTATGAGAATATGAATGGCATAATCATTAAATTGGGGAGGTCTCTACATGTGTCCATTGACAAGCAGTGTGTGTGAGAATGAATGGTGTGTACAGCTTTGTTGTGCTGCTTTATATGCTGTTATGTTTATCTTTGTCAAGATGACTTTGTCATTTTAGATGATAAACCCTTGAAGGGCAGGACAAGGCCTAGCCACATTATTCTCTATCAAGTCTTATAAATGCTGATAAGGTTCTCATAAACTCCCTTTTGATAATACCTTTTAAAAAAGAGTCTTTTTATAATATTGCTAAGTTATGTAGTTGCACTTAATTGGTTTTTGTTTTTTTCTCTTTTCAGGTGTCAGCAGTTGAGTCTTTGGAGGGTCCCCTGCTGCAGGTGGAAGGACTAAGTGACCTCAGGCTGGAGCTTCACAGCAAGAAGATGAACCTGCACTTGGTTCTCATAGACGAGCTGCACCGGCACCTGTACATCAAGTCCACCAGCCGGGTTGTGCAGCGGAACAAGGAAAAAGGGAAAATGAGGTTGGTCAAAGAGGCTCTTTGCTACAGCATCCTGTGGCAATGTAATATCATAAGGAATATTCTTCGTTTTCCAGAATGTTGTAGTTTATTTTACTTTTCCTTTAATGTACTTTCTCTGAAACTTGAGGATGGTTTTATAATAGCAAATACTGCATGTTCTGAGAGGTTGACATTCAAAGTTTGTTCATTCATTCATTGTACATTTACTGTGGTACTCTGCCATGAGGATATATAACAAACATTGACTGTGGGCCTCTTATTTTCTGGATCAGAGACACTCTGGTATATCTCAGAAGGAAGTGGAAAAATCCTTAAATTGATCAGTGAAGTCAGCCTAATTGAGAAACACAGATGTACCAGCTGAAGTTATGAGATTCTTTGTTACTTAGGGTTATGTTCAGCTTTAGGCAATCCTTTTTCTGGAATAGTTCAGGAAAGGTTCAGAGAGAATGCTTTTCTTTTATCCCTCGGTTGGTTGTAGCATAGTCCCATATTTAAAGGCACTGGGTGGGCTCAGGAAATTCATTAGGTTAGTGTAGACCTGATGGGAGTAAGACTAGATCTTAAGATAGTAGAATATTTGCATTAATATACATCAGATAACTGTGCATGGTGCGTGTTCTTCCATCACTCCTTTAAAATAGCTGCAAGATCTTTTCAGAGGGTATTTTAGCACTATCTACTGAAATACACATGTTCATGCTTTTTCATCCAGCTATAGACAAGAAGAGCACTGGGAGCAGTGCATGCTGGGAATGAAGTCTTTCAAGTCTTTCCTGTTTGAACAAAAAATGCCAACTTTGTGTGTGATGCTTTAGTTTAGTCAGAGACCCTGACAGAGAAAGGGAAGTTTCTACCTCTTTTCAGTAGATGGGCACTAGAACTTCTGCCAGGCATACAAATTGAGCTGGGGACTTACCTGAGGCTTAACTTCAAGAAGACCAGCTCTGAAAAGGGGCACTGTCAGTACCTCAGGAGAGAGTAATGTGGTGGGTAGAGCGAGTGCTAAGGAATTTCCTTCCATATTGCCGGGTGGCAAATAGCAGGTGTGAATAGGTTTCTTCCCATGTGAGGATAAATAACACAACAAAATCACTGTGAGTCCTGTGAAAATATCCCATAGCATAAGGGGAAAGGAGCATTACCTTGAGGTCTCAGAGGAAGAATGTTTATTTGGAAAAAATTTTTATAAAGCAAATGAGAAAAATTTAGGAGACTTAAGCTTGAGGTTTCTCAAAAGCTACAAGAAACATAGTATAGTAGAGTATTGTTCAAAACAGTCTCTCCTTCCCCCTCCACTTTAGTGGGAGAAGTATATTTCCTACCCTTTGGTTTCTGGGCGTTTGTTTTTGCTGTGACTAGAACATGAGACGCAAGCAGAGGCTTCATATGCGCTTGCGCTGGTGGGTGTGACCTCTTGTGCCTCTGCCATTGCCTTGCTGGCGTTGATTCCTGGAGGAGTGGGAGGGACATGTGGCACTGCCCCACGATCAGCAAGCCTGCCCAGCCCAGATCAGCCAATCCCCAAAGTATATGCTTATTTTTGGACATTATGGAGATTTTGTGGTTGTATACAGCAAGCATATAGCTTCTGTGAAACAATACTGGGGAGTTACGAGAATGGAACAGGGAGAGATGCTAACAGAACTAACTATAAAACATGAATAAGATGTGAGCAAAGCCAAAATGAAGGAGGGAAATTTAGGTCCTTATTTAAAACATTGGAGAGAAGGACTGAATCAGCGATCCGCAGGGAAAACTTTTCTCATCACGAAGAGGAAAAGGACAAGATGATGAAAGGAAGACGATGAAACATGAAAGATGGGGAGCAGCAGTCAATCCAGTGATTTCAGGGATTCCAGAGAATGACACTAAAATGATAGTGTTATGGGCTGAATTGTGTTCACTCTAAAATCCTTATGTTGAATTCCTCATCCCGAGTATCTCAGAACATTGGCTGTATTTGGAGATAGGGTCTTTCAGGAGGTAATTAAGTTGAAGTGAGTCATTAAGGTGGGCCCTAATCCAACAGAACTGGTGTCTTTATTATAAAAAGAGGTCATTTGGCAAATACTTGGAGGGAAGACCACGTGTAGACATGGGTAGAAGATGGCCATCTGCAAGCAAAGGAGACAGGCCTCCGAACAAACCAGCGCCACCCACACCTTGATCTCACACTTCCAGCCTTCAGAATTTCGAAAAATACCTATCTATAAGCCAACTGGTCTGTGGTACTTTGTCATGGCAGCCAAGTGAACTAATACAGACAGGAATGAAAACAACAGAGCGTAAATAAACTAACCTACTTACAGAAAAAAAAAAAAGACCTTGGTCTGCAAATCAAAATGATGTAAGGTATGATTAATTTAATATAACCTTATTCATAGATATAATCTAGAAATGTTTAGGGATATCAAAAACAATTCTATTAGGAAGAAAAATTATGTTATTTGCCATGATAGAGTTAATTATTTGCCCACCCAATACCCATTCTCCCCTTCATTTTTAATACAACTCTCATTTTGTTCCTGGAGGCCATTGGCCCACCTAAGAGGCTGTATTTCCCGTCTTCCTGTGTACCTAGAGGTGACTAGTGACTTCTGCTTGCAAACTGTTGAATGGTGGTGTCATAGGAAAATTTTTCAGGGGTACCAACTAGACTGGTATGCTCCCTCTTTTACCCTTCACCAACCTTTCTTTATGTGCTCTCTGAGTCTTGGATTGGTGCCCTTAGCCATCTTAGCCATGGGGTGATCTTGAGGGTAGATGCCACATCCTATGTTCCTTGATGATGCGGAGCCTCTCTTCTGGCCTTTGATGGGGTACCTCTTTTATGTAAGAGGAAAGGAAACCTTTGTTTTACTCAGACCACTGTTATTTGGGTCTTCTGTTTTGTACGGTTCAACTTAGTTTAGATACACAAAAGTCCGGATCATCAGGGTTTGCTGAACACTAACTACCAGAAGACAGTGGAGCAGAATTACAGAGTGTTGGATGGAGAAGAGTAGGGATCAAAGATTTCTGTGCACAGCCAAGTGGGCATTGATTTGCATAGGCAACAGAGAGACACTCTCTAGTAAGAAATTACAGCAAAAAATAAACCTCAGTGTTCTTTTTCTGAGAAAAATACTCAAAGGTGACCTGTAAGATGTAAGTCAAAATCACATCTTGAGAACAGTGGAGCTGTAGATAATTTGAAACAACTTCAAGAACCACACACCATTCTCACTATATGAATTTGTGTATATGTAAGTAACTGACAAGTGTATTTTTATAAGATAGAAAGTGTGAGCTAAAAACTATTGTTGAAAAAGAAGGGCTACGTATGTAGTCAAGGAATACTGTGTAATAAACAGGATTTATTTCCCCCTTTACTAAGTTAGTATAGAGACTGGGAAATTTGGATAGGTAGAAGATAGAAAGGAATGCTGAATTCTTAAGATGAATCAGACAATTGTTTTGTTTTGGACTTTAATGTTAGAGGAAAATATGTTTAATTTTGTGTTTTTATTAATCTAGATATATATTTAAATATTTCTAATTTTAAAACTCACTAGAGAAGGCAGAATCAAATAAAACATCTCTATTACAAAGGATGATATATCCATGGAGGATACACTCCAAGACTCCTTATCCATGGGGGATATATTCCAAGACTCTCAGTGGGTGCCTGAAACCGTGGATAGTATGGAACCCTTTACCTACCTGTACAGTAAGTCCTCACTTAATGTCATTGGTAGGTTCTTTTGAAACTGTAAATGACCTACAGAAGGTCCTTCAATAACATCATGTTGTTCAAAGTCATCCCTTGATGAGAAAAAAAAAAATTTGCTTTCATTATATGCCAGGGTTCTTGATTGCAAATATTAGAAATCAGTTCTGGTAACTAAAACAGGAAAGGAATTTATTGGAAAGTGATCAGGTAGTTCACAGAATCTATGGGAAGTCTGTATAATCAGGCTCTAAAACCCAGTAGGAACCAAGGGAGATTAAGCAGCTGAACACACAATCTTAGATAAGCCACAGGAAGGGTCTGGTTGGGTTGCTATCCCTGCTGGAACCATGCCTATAATGGCTGGATTTTAAACTCTCCTGTAAATGATCTCTAAATGTCCCTGCATCTTTCCTTCATCTCTTCAAGATTCAGAGTCCTGGGTGGAAGCATCCTGTTTGCTGAGCCTGGGTCGTGTCTGGCCTCCTTCAGCTTCCATAGTAGGAAGTAGGGCTCTCTTTTTGCTTTGACTCAGACAGTGGAGATTCCTTCCAAATGCAAAGACCGTTCAGATGGTTGGTAACCAGAAGCAAACACACACTGCACAACAAATTTCTACTGCAGAGAAAACAAAGGAAATCACTTGGAGGCACAGACATATAAAGAAGACCAGATGTTTTTGAATTAGAAAATAGATAATCAGTAGAATTCACAAAAGAAAGATATATGCCTACATGAAAAAAAAATTTTTTTTTAAAGAAAAGAAACAAATAGTGAGACCGTGTATATTCTTAGCTCATAAAGATGTCAGTTCTAGTTAAATTCCAGGTGAAATATTTAAATAGGAGAATGTGTGGAGGCTTTCACAAGCATGTCAGAAGTCATAAAAATATTAAATGATTTAGCATTTAAAAACTAAAAACTTACCTTTAGTAAAATGGAGTCAAAAGATAAAATAGACCCTGAGAAAATATTAATATAATACATATATGAAGCTTTAATATTTAAAGTATGAAAATATTTGTAAGATTAATAATAGAAAAGGGATATAGACAGGTCATTCATAGATTTAAAAAATGTAAATGGCTAACAAACATAGGCAGATTGTGCAATGTTATGAGTAGCCATAGAAATACAAATTTTGAAAAATTAAATGCAGTGTTTTTGATCATAAAATTACCAAAATTAAAGATATCGATAGCATGCTGTGCTGGTAAGGTTAGGGGGAAATGAGTAGCTTTCTCCTGGTGGTGGAATAACTAGTATATCTTTTCAGAAAATTAAAAAA